AGATATGTGGGGGCGTGTTAGAACGAGGCGTTTTAGGTAGGCATGGCTGACTCTTAACTTTTATAAAGAATATCTCTTTGGATTTGAGACTTTAGTCTTTGCAACTTTACAGATCTTCTTTATACACCAAGAGCTTGTAACACTCCAAAGAGAAAGGAAAGATTGAAATCGCATCATATGACCCCTTTAATTTATTGTCTAATTCATCAATAGCGAAGCGAATTGCTGAAGAATCGGAATGACCTATATATGGGCTATACACAGCAAAACCAAATAAAGATACCAATAATCTTTATTTTATATTTTATTGTTATTTTTGTTGTTGTTGATTCCATGCTGTTGTGTTGTGTTGTTTTACAAATCTTTTTTTTTTTTTTTAAACAATTAGTTGGAATAGCCTACCACGCTGTCGCTTTGTACATGCTGTTTTATATTGAGAAGGTTGGGAATGATCCTTTTTTATTATTTATAAACGTGTTGTATTTGTTTAATTGTTCATATTTTTCTTTTGTTGTCGTTGTTATTCAAGTCTCTAGGTCTTGTTTGTAATACATTGAAAAATTGTTGAAATAATAAAAAAAAGTTGCTTATAGCCTACTTCCGGCTATAATTCTGCATTAATTTCTTATGTCTAAATACTGACAAACGCATACACACAATTGAGCCCAACCATAAAATCATCCATGCTGACCACAAGGAGCGCTTGTCGTCTTGTTCTTTCTTGACACCGCAGCGCCACCGTGCGTCAAGACGCGCAGCTGCACCTCAGACTGGGCTGGGCAGAGCAGCGCTGCTCCGCGCAAAAGAGCAGACGGATGTCATTTATGGAATAAATACATTGGGATTTATTAGGTAAGTGATGCACCGTGTTTTATAAACTAACCAAAATTTGAATGAACATGTACGGTTTTAATTTTAAGAGCAAATATTTTGCATGATGGAAATGAGTAATTGGCTGTCATGAGCTCTAGAGGCGACCGATCTGGCCTATTACGGACTGGAGGTCTCTAACGGCGTCATGAAAACAGCAGCACGCTTATTTATTTAAAAACATTTAGGCATATACATGCGTCGATATAGGCTATGGGCTACTTCTCTTCATGAGCGTTATAGTGTAGCTAAATAAAAGCGCACCGTTATGAGAAGCGTATATTAAAATATGCGCTGGGTGTATTGAGCGACTGTCTCTTAGAATAACCATCAGATCTGTCATTACCGGTGCAGAACAAGGCCAATGCTTGAAGGCAGAGGCGGAGACTGACGCTTCGCTCACACGCAAATGATGCGCTGCTTCTTTAGAGGATGATAATGATGATGATGCACATATGCATATCAGGTGATTCTAACCTAAATGTTTATGCTCAAAGGCTAAAAAACCACGCTACTTTTCCTTAAAAGAAAATCATGCGTACGAAGATTTTTATGTGATATTTATTTATTTATATTTTATATTTATGCATTCTAGAAATTATACATTTTTCGCATTACAGAAATGAGAATGGAACTTCTGGCATTACAGCAACGGGAAGATGTAATGACAATGTATTGATAATTGGTCTAATTTTTCTGATAAATCATCTTCTTGACATGCTCCCTTATTTGTATATTGTGGATTGCTACAGTCATATTGGGTCATATCACTTTTCACTATGCAGTGTCCCATGGCTGGTCAGCCTGCAGTATTGGTGGCTCCCTTTCAAAACATGATTTTGGAATTTAAGTTGAACTGGCCTCATCCAACAGGAAGTTGAATTAGAATTCTGTGGCAAAGTAGGCTAATTCAACTGCAATTTCATCACAAGTTCCATTCCCAACGTTTTGTCAAGCAAACATCCAACATGGTATCAGTCAGATGGTAATACGATGGTAGGCTACTATAGGTAGCAAAAACAATTGTAATTACATTTTAATGTTTGTTTGCTGTTGGTGACTAATACTAAAATATTTAGATATGTCCTTACCTTTAGTAGGCTACAGAGTCGTTCACAAGCCACAAAGATCTGGACTTCATCACGAGCAAAGAGGACGTTTTTGCACTTTGTTTTAATCGATTATAGGTAGGCTATATAGCCCA